TTATAAATTAGTTGTATTTATTCATAATTTTTGAAATTTATGTGTACATATTAGAAATGTAGTATCAAATGTAAAATATTCTTTTTGCAATAAAAATAAATATACAAATTATGTATATTTTAGAAATCTAATATCCGCCTACAATCCACCTCATAATCTACTAGCCACAATTTCATAATGACCAACTCTCGTCTAAGCAAACTAAATTTAGACGAAGAACCGTTATCAGTCCATGAAGCCAACTGCATGATCCCTGCTCAATGATTCATGGGAAACGTATATTACTTTGAGCATAATCATTTCAAATAGTACTTTGCCTAACTAATCTGGGGAATATAGTAGAGCAAACACGGTCTTAAGTAGATAGTGGAATGAGCTAATTCTATGTCGTTAAAACATATTAAGGAAATCTTTGTCTATCCAAATTGTTTTAAAGTACACTGGAAACTGTGATTAAATGTAAAATTATGAAATTGCCGTGATTCAGACTTGTTGTTTTCACCACTTCCAATGTCAACACATGGCCATAAATATTGTGGACAGGTAGGTGGTAGGTGGTAGGTGGGTGGTTGGGTGGTGGGTGGGTGTCGGGCGTGTCCGATTGGAGCTCAGCCAAATTGCAGATGCATCGGAGAGCGACAGAGGTTGACCTCCTGTACGGCGCTTATCAAGACAATATCTTTACACACTTCCGTTTCACATCCGCGGACAGAGCAGCGCACTGGGCGTGGCGGCTGCCTCTATTCGCACAGGTGAGTCTTTATGGGTTTACAACTGTATTTTGCGCTGGTGATGGTGACGTTAAAGCAACAGGTTTTATTTGCGCTATATACTAAAGTCGGCCTGGAGCTGTGAGATAGGGCCAATCGTAATTAGGCGCTAGGGTTGATAAGCCCCAGCATCCGGCGAACAGATTCTGCTATAAAATAGAGTGTGGGTAACACAAGTGGCTCATACAACGATCGACCGAAGTTAGCCACAGGCAACACGACGATGACGACAACAACAACCAGAACAACAATCAGAACAACGATGACAGCGAGACACGGATTCTTCTCGACAGCCACCGCGGTGCTGCTGCTCTGCGCAGCCCTGGTAAGAGATCCGGCTGCATAGCTGCGAGCTCGGGATGTGCGGATAGCTGACCTTTGACTTTCCATTGATTACAGCTGCTGACCAAATCCTGCGGCGCTCAGGCCCTTAGCGGTGCTGGTAGCGGCGATTTGGCCTGGAGCGAAACAACAACGCTTGCCGAGGGCAGCGGTTGGGAGGAGACGATCATTACCACACCACAGCCTGACGAGTCCACCGTGCAGGAGGAAGTGACAACGGATGCCACTGAGGAGCTGGACACTACAACAATAGCTGTCGAAAATCCACCAGAGAGTAGCGTAGAGACAACTACTGCTGCCGCTGAGGATGCGGAAACCACGCTCAGTCCCAGCGAGCCGGAGGCAGAGACCACAGTCGCACCCAATGAGGAGTCATCCACATCGAGCCCCAGCGAGCAGCAGCCAACTGATGGCCCCAGTGGAGAGCCCTCCACTTCGGCACCCACTGGCAGTCCTAGCGAGGAGCCAACCACTGGCAGTCCTAGCGAGGAGCCAACCACTGGCAGCCCCAGCGAGGAGCCAACCACTGGCAGTCCTAGCGAGGAGCCAACCACTGGCAGTCCCAGCGAGGAGCCAACCACTGGCAGCCCCAGCGACCAGCCATCCACATCGAGTCCCACTGAGGAGCAGTCCTCTGCCAGCCCCGGCGAACAGCCATCCACATCCAGCCCCATTGAGAGCTCATCCTCTGCCAGCCCCAGCGAACAGCCATCCACTTCCAGCCCCGGCGAGGAGCAGCCCACAACTCCAGAAGAAGAGGCAGGCGCCACCACCATTGCACCCACACCACCGGCACCGCCCGCATTCACGTGCGAGACCCCTGGTGTATTCGCCCACATCAGCGGTGACTGTCAACGCTTCCATAAATGCGTCCAGGATGCTCCTTTGGGTGCGCTGAATGAATACGACCTGGTGTGCCCCCCGCTGATGGCTTTCTCGCCCGAGTACGGCCGTTGCGTGCGCGACGTCTCGGCGTGCGACAATGATGCATTCGTTTGCGCATCTCCCGGACGCTTTGCAGGCAACGACTCCAGCTACTACTACAACTGTGTGGTGAGCTTGCGCGGTGGCTATCACAAGTACATTGTGCGCTGCTCGCCCGGCCAGCGCTTCGAGCCGTTGATGGGCCGTTGCTGGCGCTACGACTGGACAGTTTACCAGCCCGGACAGGCGTATGAGGCCGAAGATTTGGCCGCCATCAAGCGTGAACAGAAGCAGCTGAAGACCGAGGAGAAGCTGCGCAAGAAGGCCGAAAAGATCAAGGCCAAAGAGCTGCTGAAGCAACAGAAGCTGGCCGATAAGCTGGCCAAAAAGGCGGCCAAGGAGAAGGCAAAGCAAGAGGCCAAGGCCAACAAGCCTGTGTCCATTGAGAGCGTCGAGTCGCCCGAGGTGCCCAGCGTCGAAGAATAACCAGGCCCAGTCACTCAGTCCAGTAATCCAGTTCTAATCTATGTTGGTGTATAGCGTAGTCTCATTAAGTTATGGTTGTTAATTTCACATTTTTTTTTTCTCCCTGTTTTGCATGAATAAAGACAAGAGTTCTTTAACGAAATGGTTTCAAATGCTTTTGGCCAACAAAGAGCGCCCTAGACGGTGCGTTTATCAGCTAATCAGCCGCAATCTTAACGATTGTCAAAAAGTTGTTTGTGGCCGACTATAAAAGAACCGAACCAAGTGCCCATCCAGTTAGTCTGTCGAAACAAGTAACGAATCACAAGAGATAATACCATCAGAGGAGCGAATTGAGCAATAATACCCGAATATGTTTACCATTCAATTGGCACTTAGCGCCACCTGCCTCGTGCTGCTTGGGGCTGTCCACGCTGACTACCTGACGGTACCTTGCAGTGGCACGGATTTCATTGCCGACGGGGACAATGCTAACGGATTCTATGCGTGCGTTCCATCAACAAATGGGGGCTACCATCTACTTCGGCTGAGATGCCAGGAAAATATGGTTTTCGATTCGGAACAGGCTCAATGTGTTGATCTTCGGCGGGATGCAGTCCCAGCTGATGGTAGCGACATTGAGAACCCCACAATTCCACCAGGAAATTTAGATGAGAGTACTTCCGACTCCCCTCCAGAGCCAACTGCTGCTCCAGAGCCTTCAAGTCCCACTGCAGCTCCCGAACCATCAAATCCGACTAATGCTCCCGGAACAAGCGGAACAACGGTTGCTCCTGAACCCAGCGAACCAACAAATGCTCCCGGAACCAGCGGAACAACGGTTGCTCCTGAGCCTAGCGAACCAACAAATGCTCCCGGTACCAGCGGAACCACGGTTGCTCCTGAGCCCAGCGAACCAACAAATGCTCCCGGAACCAGCGGAACCACGGTTGCTCCTGAGCCCAGCGAACCAACAAACGCTCCTGAGCCTAGTGGACCAACAAATGCTCCCGGAACCAGCGGAACCACGGTTGCTCCTGAGCCCAGCGAACCAACAAA